TTCTGCAGAACTGAGGCCCCCACCCAGGTAGAGGATGGTGACTTCAGGCCGAGCACAAGATTCCTGGAGCAACACCCTGTTACCTCACCACCAACCAATCAGAAGAAAGTCACACACCCTGCAGCCCTCACTCTAAATTTTGCATATAAAAGATTGTCCTCGAAACCATTGGGGAGGTCGGGGTTTTTTAGAGCACCAGACACCCATTCTCCTTGCTTGGCCCTGCAATAAACTTTTCTCTGCTCCAAATTCTGACGTTTCTGTTTGGCCTCTCTGTGCTTCGGGCACATGAACTTGTGTTCAGTAACAACACAAGGCAGTCCGGTGGCAGACTGTTCCTCCCCCTCCCCTGCGGCCTTAGGGAATGTTCCTTCCTGGTTGCTTCCACCTCTCCCCCAGCCCTCTCTGTGCCTAATGCCTTGTGTTGTCTTATATTCTTCCAAAAGGAGTATTCCCCAGCAAGAACTATTCTACAGGTGCCTGCTTCCAAAACAGCACCTCCATACTTTTGTTCCGACCCTTTCCTCTTCATCCTAGAGCCTAGAGCATTTCTATCAGCACTGTCAACGTCTAGGAGTTTCTTAGAAATGCAGAACCTCAGGCCCCAGCCCAGACCTACTGATGCAGAATCGGATCACCAGATGGTTCACACACATTAAAGTTGGAGCAGCCAGAAGTTGATCTGATTACTTGATTAAGCAAGTCACCATAAAAAGGAGGGTTTTTCAACCCTGTTTGCATTTAGAATCACCTGGTGCTCTTTTTAAAATTCTGATTCCTGGGTCCTGTTCCCAGACCAATTGAATCAGAATCTTAGTGGGGGTGGAGCTTATATTCATCTATATTTTTATGCAATAGCTTGGGTGAGTGTAATGTGAAGTTAGAGTTCAAAACCACTGCTTTAAAGATTTAAATATTTTAGGGGGACATTTAGAAACATAAAAACTGCTCTAAGTAATAAGAAAAAAATACATAAAATCCTACAGTGGTTTCTCATAACATTCAGGATAAATTTCAAATTTCTCACATTAACACCCAAGGCCCTTTCTGATTCTGAGCCCTGTCTACCACTCCAGCCCCATTTCCTGCTCTCCTACACCCCATACCCTAGGGTGCCCCAAACAACAGCATTCTCCCCAACATGTCCTGTTCTTTCATACCTGTGTGACTTTGCCCAAGTTCTCTCTTTAATATCCTTGCCCCATTTCTTTGCCTCTGTAAAGCCTTCCTTAACCCCATGATTCTTAAGGAAAAACAAAATCTGGTTTTAAAATTAAAACTTAAGGTTTTTGTTTTTCTTTAATGCTTTCTAGCTATTTGTATTGTCAGCCATATCTCAAGCCCAGGGCCCCAAGCAGACTAGGCTATTGTCTTCCATAAGCCTAGTCTTCCAATAACCACACTGAGAAAATGTTAAACATCAGAATGTGCTAATTTAGAGATGACCCTTGAATATTGTTTAAAGCTGATTTAAGCTCCAGCAAATGCAAGGCCAGTGCCTCTGGGCTGAAGAAATAATCAATTTTGCCTCCTACAAACTTATTGTAAGTACCTAACACGTACACACAAAAGAAAGCCTTTCCTTTACTAGAAAAGAGCTTTTGGTACATCACGTAATTCTTACTCATTTGAAATCTAATTTGACACAAAAATTGCTTTTCCTAACTTTTCATCAATTTTTAGAAACACCATGAAATGAACATTGCTTTTCCATTTATTTCTCTCTGTTGAGAATGTCCTTCCTTTAATAGAACATGAGGAAATTTTTGGATTTACTTCTCATGATTTAGTGGCCCATTTTTCAATATGTAAACTTTGGACCAAATTAAATGAAAAGTTTAAAGGTCCCTGAGAAATAGTCAGACCTTCTCTTGCATAATTAATATGCCTGCTTATAAGAAAAGAGTCTAAACATCTCTGAAAAGTGTTCAATTTTTTCTTCTCATTTTTTCTTCCAACATTTTCACAGATAGGAGTAAATAAATACCAATGGTATACACTTCTCTAGAATGTTCTGACCTCTAAATTCTCTCTGTCCTATCTGCTCAGAATGGGCTTAAGGGAAACAAACAAACAAAAATCCTATTTAAAGAACAAAATGACAGGTCTTAGCACTAGAAAGTCAACAATTGGCTGATTCTTTTATTTGTTTATTAAATATTTATTGAGCACCTACTATCAGCCAGATAGGGAGATAGGCACCTCTGTAAGCAGAATCACTTTGGTCAGGGTCCTTGATGTTACTGATGATCTCTACCTTGGCAAATCTAAAGGTCAGGTCTCTGTTCTCAACTTACTCCTCCTCTCAGTGGATTTCACCCTCTTTCCTTCTCCAGAGACGTTCTCCCCTAGGCTTCTGAAGTACTGCGCTTACCTGGTTTTCCTTCTACTCCCTGACTATGCCTTTGGTGTATCATTTGTTGGCTCCTCTTTCTGCTGAAAGCTAACTGTTGGACCTTTCTTCTTCTCTATCCACATTCTCATCCTAAGTGAGCTCCTCTAGTCCTGTGGCTTAATACCATCTAGATGCTAATGACTCCCAAATCTGTATCACCAGTTCCCTGTTTACCCTGAGCTCTGGACTAGATCATATATCCAACTGCACATATGATATCTCCACTTAGATGTTCAATAGAGATTTCACACAGAGCTATTCCCCTCAATGTCCCCACATAAAGCCCCTCCTACCCCAGTCTTTCCCATTTAGTAAATTGCATCATTTGCTTGACCAAAAATCTAAACGTTAGGGATTGCATTCAGCTGCATGTTAACAGAATCCACCTTAACCAGAGAGCAGGGGTTTTTTGTTTGTTTATTTTCATATAATAAGAGGGCCAGAGGCAGGCAGACCAGAGCTGTGCACTGGTCTCCCTAAGCTAACAATGTCCCGGCTCCTTCTATCTTTTTTCTTCACCGTCCTCATGGTCGCAAGATGACAGCCCCACCTCCAGCCTCACATTCACATGCCAATGGAAAGAAAAGGAAGGAATTAACAAGGTGGAAGGCACAGAGCCTATATGGAAAGAGCAAAACACTCCCAGAAATCCCTAGTAGATTTCTGCTTATCTCTCATTGCCCGGAACTGTTACAAGCTCTACCTCAGATACAAGAGAAGCTGGGAAATATGGCTTTTTAGCTAAGCACATTGCCACCCTGCATAAATCAGGGCTCTGATATATGGAAGAAAGGTAGAATGGACTCAGATAGGCAATAGCAGTACCCGTTCTATCGTCCTGGACTGCTCTCTTTTCCTACACTTGCTTACCAATCCCTCAGCAAGTCCTATCACTCCTACCTGCAAAAGACAGCAAATTCAACTGCTTCTCTTCATCTCCATTGCTCAGACCCCGGCAGGAGATACCATCTTCTCTCCCTCAGACCACAGCATTTGGCCTCCTAGCAGGTCACCCTCTTCCACACTTGCCCTCTCTCTAGCCCTTTGTTCACACGGTGGCTGGGATGAGCACTTAAAATTATAAATGTAATCTCACCATTCCCTTTCTTAAATTCTCCAAAGCAGGGTTCCCCAACCCGCGGGCCGCGGACGGGTACCAGTTCGTGGCCTGCTAGGAACTGGTCTGCACAGCAGGAGGTGGGCAGCGGGCAAGCGAAGGAAGCTTCATCTGCCTCTCCCCATCGCTCGCATTTCCGCCTGAACCATCCCCCACCCAGCCCCCCCCCCCCACATCCCATCTGTCCGTGGAAAACCTGTCTTCCAACGAAACCGGTCCCTGGTGCCAAAAAGGTTGGGGACCCCTGCAAAGGATCTGTCACAGTTTGGGTTTCCTCCAAGCAGACCCTGACACAAGTAGTTTGAGAGATGCAGGACACATGGGTGGGGCTTCACAGCGAGACCAGGAAGGAAAGGCAGCCCAGAGCAGGTGCGAGACCAAGGCCTCCTCCCCCGGCGGGGAGGCGGGGAAGCCCTGGGAAATGGCATTAAGACACTTGCCTCAGAATCACCTGACCCCAGGGACAAGGAGGTGTTTCTACACCAGCCCCCAAGGGTTGCTGGTCGCACTCTCTTGGCTTGAGCATCCTGGACTTACCCCTTCCCTGAGCTAACTCACTGCAAAAGCCAGCACTTCCTTCCACTTAACAGCCTTTCTGTTTACAGACCATCACAGCTTCGTCTTCTCGAAGCAGAATCACAAGAGGGTGCAAGAGCCACTTTATTTCTTTAATAGGATAATTTCAAAGTACAATTTAAGGATGATGAATGTCTGAGAAATTTGCTGAGTTCTAGTCTCATTTGAAAGAGCTAAATTTTTGTGATGCTCTCTCTTTGACAAAAAAAGTATATAACATCTTTACTTGAGATGAATAGATACACACTACTATATATAAAATAGATAAACAGGGCTTCCCTGGTGGCGCAGTGGTTGAGAGTCCGCCTGCCAATGCAGGGGACACGGGTTCGTGCCCCGGTCTGGGAGGATCCCACATGCCGCGGAGCGGCTGGGCCCGTGAGCCATGGCCGCTGAGCCTGCGCGTCCGGAGCCTGTGCTCCTCAACGGGAGAGGCCGCAACAGTGAGAGGCCCGCGTACCGCAAAAAAAAAAAAAAGATAAACAACAAGGACCTACTGTATAGCACAGGGAACTATTGGGTTGGGCAGAACATTCGTTCAGGTTTTTCTGTAGGATGATACGGAAAAACCTGAACGAACTTTTTGGCCAACCCAATGTATTCAATATCATGTAATAAATTATAATGGAAAAAATCTGAAAAAGAATAGATACTGAATCACTTTGATGTACACCTCAAGCTAACCCAACATTGTAAACCAACTATTCTTCAATTTAAAAAATATATATAGGAAAATTTCAAGAAGGGCATATAAAATTTGGAATATTTATTTAAAGTCAATATATTAAGGTATGCATCATTTACTAATACTAGCAACTAATTATATGTATATTATAGCTATAAATGGCATGACTATGGATCTGGAGGGTATAGATGAACAGTCGGTAAATAACTGTGGATATATTTCTGCCTTTAGATTAAACTACTACTTGTCTTTCCTTTCTTCTTCAATTGTTCTACAAAGTAATCATTACAAGCAATGGTCAGAGCTGCCACAGTGACCACGAATTCATTAAAATCCACTTTGTTGTCCTTATTGGCATCCAGGTCCTACATTATCTTATCAACCAACTCAGGATCCTTTTGACACTAAAAGGAAAAAGAAAATTTCTAACTCCCAGGCTCTGAGGTTCATAATGACAACTGAAATCGTATTTTCCTTTTATCTACATTAAAGTTTGCATTTCCATTTTTAGCATCTAAAGCAATTTCCAAGAGCCTATTTGCAGGGAGGTTTGAACCAGGCACACATTCTAAACGAGTCTGGGCTTCTGCCCCACCCCCACCATATAATCCTCAGACCTAAACACCAAGAGGAGCAAACAGCAGCATATCAAAGTGAGCTGGACAGGCTGAGGGCCAGGACCTGGGGAGGAAATCAGGGGGACTTGAAAAGAAGGAAGCCTTGAAGCCAAAGGGGGATCGTGAGTGGCTCTGCCATTTACCAACAATGGGACTTGGAGCAAATCACTTAACATTTTAAAATGTCCTAATTTATCAAATGAGGAAAAAAATATCTCCCACAAATTTGGGGGCTACTTCAACATGCTTTTATAAGTGCTTAGCACCACGTTGTTAGATTTAGCAAGTAAAAATTCAGGATGCCCAATTAAATGTGGATTTCAGATGAGCAATGAATACTTTTTTAGTATAAGTATGTCCCAAATAATTGCATGGGTCATATAATATTTTAGCTGGCAGCCTGTTTTGTGTGTCGCAAAACAAAACAGAGGCACCCAATAAAGGGTAGATCTTATAAGGATGACTCCATTTTATAGGTGGAAAGGAAAGCAAGGAGCCCATTGAGGAGATCAGGGTTCAGAAAGGGTGGGGCGGTGAAGCACCTACCTTTCCTATGATAAGAGGCTGATGAGAAATGTTTCCAGAAGTATAATTCACTTCCTCCAAGAACTCCCCATTGTCCTCTCATTAGCTGCCAACCATTAAATGGTTGGAAATTTAAACTGAATTGATCAAAATCAACTCAATCAAAAACAACTATAAATTTCACTTGAATAAATCAATGTGCCAAGTGTGGCCTACCGAGTTTTTTATCCTAAATGTTATGTAATACAGTAGCCAAACTGAATTTGAAAAAGAAAAATGTTCTCAGGGGCTCTTAAAATTACTGAACAGGTATTTGTATGTTAAAAATTCTTACTTTAAGCTTTTCCCATAGAGGGTGGGGATAAAAGAGTGTCATAATTATAATTACTATCGTCTTAACACAGGGTTTGGACAGAATAACATCATGCCAGGCTGTTACACGTGCTAAAACCAATTCGAGGCAACTCCAGAAACACAAGAGTGAGCATTTTCTTGAGAGCAGCCTCCACACACTCCATTCTAAGGTTTCACGTGTGGTTTTATTGAACTTTTGGCTGTTTTGAGATGTAAATCTACTTGTTACCCAACTGGTCACTGGCCAGACACACCCTTTCGGTCAATCCCAATCAGCTTGTTCTCGGCTGACAAACTCACCTGGTATTTGTTATTCACTAGAAAATTTGCCATCATATCATAAAGTGCCCCAGGCTGCATTTCTGGCCCCAAACATAATATTTATTCATTTATAGACAGCAGGACAGAGGTCCGGGTATAACTTGTGACACTAGTTATAACTATAACTCCTAGTATAACTAGCTATACCTTTGCTGTACTACGACACTGAATAATTGATAAAAGCCTCAAATATAATTTCCAACACTGGAAACCCTAACCCTAGGCACTACAGAAAAGCGCACATGCCTACAGACACAGAAAACAAAGGTCTCTAGTGTTTGCTTCCCTGTATTTAGAATCTCGATAGGAATTATACAACGTGTGGCAGGACACAGGAGTTGGTGGTGCACATGGAGGCTATCCCTGAATGTGCACCGCATCCACCCTCGACTGGATGGGGAGAAAAGCCAGACTCACCGGGAAGAATTCTGTGAGGTGTCGCTGCAAGAGCATTTTCAGCTCCCCCTTGTTGATCTTGAACCTGTCCCCCTCCTTGCAGGAGTAGCAGAAGATTCTAATCATGGTGTCCATGGCAATCTCCAGCTGGGCGGGCGTGTTGGCAGCAGAAGGGATCACCCCAGGGCAGGCCACCAAAGCCAGGGAAAGAACATTTGTGACGGATAAGTGGGTGGGGAAACATCAACGCCTTCATTAAAACGGAATATTGCCATCCCCCGGTCAGCCCTCGCCCCAGGTGATGGTTGTTAAACCATGATAATCAATTAACCAAACATTCTGCCCATCTAGAGCAAGCCGCAGAGATCTTTGTGGGTGAGTTTTTCTCCTCCCTAATCCCCACTCCCCAACGATGGAGCCGGTTCAAACTGTTTGGAAGTTAGTAATCACACAACAAATACAGAGTCATGATAAACACAGATTAAAAATAAACAAAAAGAGGAAGGAAATGCGTAACTTCATACCTGTTCAGCCAGTGCACGGCTCTGTCAACAGGTGTTTACAATTAAACTATAAGCCTATATACCCGGGGGTTTCACCCCAGCACATTTGTTCCCAAGAAGATGAAAATTGGCAGTGACAAGAGATTCAAGTGGAAGTAACTGAGTCTGTTTTTAATCACGAGAAGGAACAGGTGTGAGCTGCTGCCCCATGGGCCATCAGGGAAGGGCAGGCCCCCACTGTGTGCCCTGGAAGAGAAGACAAAGAGGGAAAGAGAAGCCTTCAGTTACCCCTCATTACGGAGAGTGTGGGTACAAATGCAGTCAGTTGCTAGGAAGCTGATGACTGGGAAGAACTCTAAAAATAGAGGAGCAGAGAAGAAACACTCCTTCAAACTTGGAGACTCCTCAGCAAAGCCAACAGCAAGGTCAAGGGAATATGCTCAGAGCAGACTCGCTAAACTAACCCAATGGACAGTGGTGAGTCGTCTAGCTGTTAAAAAAAAAAAAAAAAAAGAGGAAGCTCTCCACGTGCCAATTTAAAAAGGAACAAAGCAGCGACCCTGGGGGTGTAGGAAAGAAAGAAAGCTAAGAATATATATGTGTATATATACTTTAATTTGTCTAAGGAATCACTGAAAGGTTACCAAAGAAAGTAAAAAAAAAAAAAAAAAAAAAAGTCGTAGCTATAAGGGCCAAGGTGGAAACAGAGCGGTTGGGAGTAAGATTTCTCATTTACCCCTTTTAAACTGATTTTAACTTATTCAGTTATAGGACTGTATTGCCTAGTCAAAAACTAAAAAAGTTGAAATCCATGGAATGAAGCCCTAGAAGCCATGCATGTAGGAATCCACAGCGGGAGGATTTCTAAGTGAGAGAAACTTAACAAAAAATAAGTCACTGGAAAAACCAAAGCCAGAAACTGGCCGCTGTGCTTTAAATGCTGGCTGTGCTCTCAGGGCTGCACTTTAATTATATGGAAAGCAAACCAGTATCTCCTTTGTATCTCCTTTCCACAAGCCTGTTGGGATGTGTCCTCGACCAGCCCGCCTCCTCCATCTTACCACGAGGCAGCCTACTGGACCCTCCAGAGAGGTCCCCAGGGATGTTCTCAGATTATACCTAAAGCCCAATTCTCAAAAATATTTTTAAATTGTTTTTTTTATGATTAAAGGAGTATAATGTGCATGGTAAAATAATATTTTAAATACTCAAGAGTATGAAATAAAAGTAAAATTCTCTCTCCACCATTCCCCACCCTCGTCCTTCTAGGTTAACATTTTCCTGTGTGAGAAGCAGGTCACGGTGGTAGAAAGTACGGACTGCCTGGCTCCAGCTCTCACCTCTGCCCCCGTGTGATCCTGGGCTAGTCACTCAAATTCTGTGTCTTCGTTTCCCAATCTGTATCAAAGAGATCACAGCAGTAGCTTACCCAACAGAAAAGATTAAATGAGTTAAAATATGTGCCAGGGGGCTTCCCTGGTGGCGCAGTGGTTGAGAGTCTGCCTGCTGATGCAGGGGACGCGGGTTCGTGCCCCGGTCCGGGAGGATCCCACGTGCGGCGGAGCGGCTGGGCCCGTGAGCCATGGCCACTGAGCCTGCGCGTCCGGAGCCTGTGCTCCGCAACGGGAGAGGCCACAACAGTGAGAGGCCCGTGTACTACACAATAAAAAAAAAAAAAAAAAAAATATGTGCCAGGAACACACTGAGTGCTTTGTATGTATCAGCTATTATTATCCTTACAGAAAAAAAAGATATGTTTATCATTTATATAATTATATACATTTTATATATATATATACTTAAATATATATATCCATAACAGCATCAACGTGTGTGCACCTAGTTTTTTAAACTTCATATGAATCTTACTATATCAGCATATAGATCTACCCCATTCTTCACTGAAGTTGCATATTATTCCACTGGATGCATGTCCCTACGTATAGTCACGAAATATTTGTCAGGCACTGATGTTATGCCAGGTCCCGTGTAAATACAGGAGAAGAACTTTGCCTTAGCAAATCTCATTGCTATTTGTATTGGGGCTGTGTTAAGTATAGAGAATGCAGGGAATGCTGACGTCTTTTTTATGTTGGGTCTTCCCTCCAAGAACACCCCTATAGCTTTGTGACCACACTTTCCTGAGTCTCCCATTTCTGAATGCTTTCTTTCAACTTTCTTCAACTCCTACACTCTGGCGATTTCAGCTACTCCTATGATTTCAATCACTCCCCAGACCATATCTTTTGGCCCAGAGTTCTCTATTAAGCTCCAAAACCACTATCCAACCACCTGCTGGACCCCATTCCTACCAGAGTGTCCCACAAGCTTCTCAAACTTGGTTAGGACCAAAGCAAAACCCATGCCCTCTCCACACCCACACCTGCTCCTCCTGCTGTATTGACCAGCTCTGTCATCCAGCTGCTCCCATCACCCGGCGTCTGGCACTATTTTTAAATATCAGTTGAACTTATCCATTTCTCTCCATTCTTCACCACCTTCAGGACTTGGTAATTTTTGGTCTCTATTACTGTGGTAACTTCCTTACTGCTCTCTCTACTCACTATTCTCCTCCATTCTGAGCTCCATTTTGCTGTCAGAGTAGTTTATCTAAAACACAAATCAATACCCACACTCCTGGGCATTCAACAGTCTGACCTGCCTACAAACTGACCAAAATGTTGTACTCTCTCATTCTTCCCTGCCTTGGCTCTTCTGGGCCCACTGCCTGGAATGCTAATTCTGTCTATTACTTCAGGCTCAGTTCAAATATCTCCTCTTGGAAGTTTTCCTGCAAGCTTCCCCACTCCCCAACCTTCACCCTGATAAGTGCCCACCTCTGTTCTCACTTGTCCCCCAGAGCATCTCTTTTTCTTTTTTATCATTGCACTTATCACACATTCCTATAATCACTTTTTTTTTTTGTCTGCCCACATACTCCCCGCTCTCTAGACTTTGAATGCGTCCCCTGATGGCAGAATTGATATCTCATTCATCCTTGCACTCCACAGCATTTAGCACAGGGTCAAGCATATGATGGAAATGCTCAGAAATCTTTGCTGATGGATGGATTAATGAACAAATGCCTCAGAGAGGGAAACTAAGCTCTCCAAAGAGTTGAGCCTTGTCTGGTTTAACTGTCCAAAGAATTATTCGATTGCCGTTATTCCACACACAAAATTTGCTTCATGAAAGAAAAGGAGACAGACAGAAAACAGTCATTTAAAAGAATAGAAAGAGTGTGAATTTGGAACTATTTTCAGATTAAGCTGCTGAAGTTATAAATGCACTAAAATGGGTAAGTCTTACAGAGTATGTGGGTCTCAGCAGTATTATATTTAAATCATGTTCAACGACAAATTGACTTCTTGGAAAATTCAGTTGGCAGGCAAAACTCTTAATAGATATTTAAAAGCTGTAATGCTGTAATCTGATTCGAGAGATGAGAATATGGCCTTGGTGTGCTTTGCTCTGGGGGTTTAAAAGCAAGGTGGTTTCTGCCTGGTTTCCGCTTGGCTTTAGCAGAGCTAGATGTTTCCTTTGGTATATGCTGCCCCTTGGTGTCAGGCTGCAGGACTGCATCTGGAAGCCCTCTAATTCCCAGAGTGTGCTTGATACTGTAAACTGAGCATGGCCCTTCTTCAGGAACTTGTCTGTGTTGTAAACCAGCCCCAGCCTCTGCCCTCCTGAAGACTTTCAGAAACAAAGATAACGTCAGAAGTCTCAACAGGACCCTGTCGGGCCAGTGACACAAATTTACAGGTGAGGAAATCCCAGGTGGGCAGGGGAGACATACCTGTTCATAGCCCAGAGGGGTCCTCCAGTAGCACCTTACTTGCTCTATGAGTCATTAATTACAGTTTTACTTTTCAGTTTCTGGTGTGTGTCATAACCCTTAGGACTAAAAGCTATAACTTCACATCCAAGATAGCATGCAAAGAATGAGAGAAATGGAAATATCAGATATGGGAGAGTTTAAAAGTAAGGACTATTGTAGAGGAAAAAAAGCTATTGAAAATCCACAAGTGGGAGGCAAAAAGAGCAGAGCTGCTGGAAAGTGGGGCTTTGGCCATGGAGCCTGAAAAAAAGGAAATATGTGAAAAATAAGCCATCAATATTACCTGGGATACAACTGACACCCTAAAGGTGCTTGAGCCTGCCACAGATTCCTAGGGGGGTCTGCCTCTGAGGCCAGGCCAGAGTCATACAGGAGGCTAAACTGTCTCCTTCCAAAGTTTCCAGTTTTGTCTTTTTAAGTAACCTGGTTCAAATGTTCTGTCACTTTCATAACAATGACATGGGTGAGTCTAAAATAATTATATGGGATAAGAGGGAGAGATTACAAAAGGGCAGGAAGAATCTTTTGGGCATGATGAATATGTTCATTATCTTGATTGTGGTGATGTTTTTACAGGTATATACATGTCAGAACTTAAAGTTTGCATTTCAAATACATGCAGTTTATTGTATGTCAATTATAACTCAATAAAGCACTTCAAAAAAAGAAAGAAAAAACTTTCCCAGAATCACATAAGTAGATTATAGCAAACTGAGATTCAAATCCATGTTTGTCTGACAAAAAGATTAAACCATGCAGCCATTTAAAAGTAGAATTATAAAGACTACAGAAATGCAAAAGAAAAA